AAGGAAGGAAGGAAGGAAGGAAGGAAGGAAGGAAGGAAGGAAGGAGAAGGAGTGTGGGGCCCTTTTGGGCTCTCTGAGCTTATTCCTGAGGGAGAAAGGGAGGGAGGGAGGGAGGGAGGGAGGGAGGGAAAGGAAGGAAGGAAGGAAGGAAGGACAGAGGAAGGAGGAATGGATAGAAGGACAGAAGGAACATAGGGGAGGGGCAAGGAAGGATAGAGAGGAAGGACGGATGGAAGGCAATAACAGGAGGGAGTGGGGAAGGAGGGAGGAAGCAGAGAAGGGGGGGAGAAAGAAAGTAGAGAGAGAGGATGAATAGATGGAAGGAAGGAAAGAAGGGTGGATGGGTGAAAGGAAGGAAGGAAGCGGAAGGACAGATGAAGGAGGGATGGAAGGAAGGAACATAGGGGAGGGAGGGGGAAAGAAGGAAGGAGAGAGGGTGAGAGAGAATAGAGAGACTGGATGGGAAGATGAAAGGAAGGAAGGATGGACCATGGTAGCACAGTGGTTAGAATGCCACATTGCAGACTATCTCACTGCCGACTGCCAACAGTTCGATCCTGACCGGTTGAAGGTTGACTCAGCCTTCCCTCCTTCTCAGGTGGGTAAAATGTGGACCCAGATTGTTGGGGAGCAAGAGGCTGACTCTGTAAACCGCTTAGAGAGGGCTGGGAAGCACTGGGAAGCTACACATACCTGCTAGTGCTATTTTTTTGGTTCCAGGTGCGAGAGAAGATGAACGCCATGGTCAACAGCGCCATTGTGCACTACCGAGATGACCTGGACCTCCAGAACCTCATTGATTTTGGTCAGAAGGAGGTAGGGTTTGGTTGGGACCATCTGGTCTTTCTTTGGTCTTCGGAACCCAACCCCTGTTGGGTTGCCCAACGACAGAGGACAACCAGGACCCAAAGTTCGTCCATCCTGACTTTGAAACAGAAGCTGGCGGGTGGATCATCCAGGAGTTAGAGGCCATGTGAGAACCTGTATCTTTTGAAGGACATTCTGGAACTAGGGTGGTTCTTTTTTTAAAAAAAAATCAGGATTATGGATTAAGGGAGGCGGCGGCTCAGAGGCAAAGACGCTGAGCTTGTCGATCAGAAAGGGTCGGCAGTTCGAATCCCCGGCGCCGCATCACGGAGGGAGCTCCCGTTACTTGTCCCAGCTTCTGCCAACCTAGCAGTTCAAAAGCATGTAAATGCAAGTAGAAAAATAGGGACCCCCTTTGATGGGAAGCAGTGGTGTGGGATTCGAAATTTTTTTACTACCGGTTCTGCGGGCGTGGCTTGCCGGGCGTGGCCATGTGACTGGGTGGGCATGGCTTTTTTTCTTTTTTGCAACCAACCCCTCCACCTGTTTTTTGGGGCCTTCTGGGCCTCCGAGGAGCCTCCGGGGCAAAGCAGTAAGAGGGGAATCCCGGCATAGACGATCGTAGGAACAGTTGATTGTCAGACGGGGGAAAAAATTATCTTAAGGGGCCAGTGTCAGGGGTGGGTGGACAAGCGAGCCAGCGGTGACCGGGCGACCAGGTCAGCGGCATGGCCAGCCAGAACTTAATACCGTTTTCAGCGACCCACACCAAATCCTTGCTACCGGGTCGTAGGAACCGGTGCAAACCGGTTGAATGCCACCACTGGTGGGAAGGAAGCCGCGTTCCACGCGCCTTCATGCCGGCCACATGACCGTGGAGACGTCTTCGGACAATGCTGGCTTTTCTTTGGCTTTGTAACGGAGATGAGCACCGCCCCCTAGAGCCAGGGATGACTAGCACGGAGGTGTGAGGGGATAATAACCTTTACCTTTTTACCTTACGGATTGTTACAAAGCGTTGTGCTCTGATGCTTCATAGAATCCTAGGTTGGAAGGTCTTTGGGTCCAGGAGTCTCCAAACTTGGCAACTTTAAGATAAAAAAAAAGATGTTGATTTGTTTTTTTTGGGGGGGGGGGGGAAAAGCAGCAAAGAGCAACTAAGACGATTCCAGGCCTGGAGACTAAAACATATGAAGAACGGCTGTAGGATTTGGGTTTGGCTAGTCTAAAGAAAAGAAGAATTAGGAATGACATGAGAGCAGGATTCCAGCATTTGAGGGGCCGCCCCAAAGAAGCGGGAGGTCAAAATTATTCTCCAAAGCCCCTGAAGGCAGACGAAGAATCAATGGATGGAAACTCATCAAGGTTAGAAGCAACCTGGAATGAAGGAGAAAATTCTTAACGGTGAGGACAATTAACCAGGGGAACTACTTGCCACTAGAAGTTGTGGCTGCTTCATCCTTGGAGGTTTTTAAGAAGAGATTGGACAGCCACTTGTCTGAAATGGTCTAGGGTCTCGTGCTGGAGCAGGGGGCTGGACTAGAAGACCTCCAAGGTCCCTTCCAGCTCTATTCTAATTGACTGATTGATTGATTAGTTGATTGATTATGGACTTCAACTCCCAGAATTCCTCAGCCAGCATGTCTTAAAGTTGTCAAGTTTGGAGAGCCTTGCATTATACCGATCATTGGTGTTGTAATGACGAGGCAGTCGAGTTGTTTGATCATGAACAACTGAATCATGATGATCTTTATTGGAGTCTAGTCTTGCATTTATACACATTTTTAATTATCCTCCATCACTGGTTAACTTTGGTTACTGCTTAACTTTCGTTACTGTTTAGCACAGTATTCCATAAAATTAATTATCTCTAGTTAAAGTCTAACCTATGTTTACTTCCTCTCTCTAATCCTCCTTTAGGTTAGTGACTTTGTTTGCCTGAGTTGTATTTGCTTGTAAACATTCTTTATCTGAGGTTTGCCCTCCGAGATTGGAACATTCCTGCAATTACAACTCTACACATTGGCAAATCTCTCTTTAATTTTTGGAGAGACACAAAGGGAGCTGTGACAGTCATCCTTTCTCCATACTACCTTTCTGGAGAAGCAGCACAGCTGCAGCCCTATCAAAGTGAACCCAAAACATAGAATGACAAGATTGGAAGGGACCTTAGAGGTCGTCTAGCCCAACCCCCTGTTCTAACAGGAGACCCTATATACCACTCCAATCTCTTCCTAAAAACCTCCAGGAAAGAAGCACCGACAACCTCCGGTGGCAAGCAGTTCCACTGGCTAATTGTCCTCGCTGTTACAAAGTTTCTCCTTAATTCCAGCTTGCTTCTCTCCTTGGTTAGTTTCCATCCATTGTTTCTGGTCCTGCCTTCAGGTACTTTGGAGCATAGCTTGACCCCCTCTTCTTTGGGGTAACCCTTCAGATATTGGAGGACTGCTATCATGTACAGCAGAGGTCTTCAAACTTGGCAGCTTTTAAGCCTTGTGGACTTCAACTCCCAGAATTCCTCCTCCAGTCATGTTAGCTCAGGAATTCTGGGAGTTGGAAGTCCACAAGTCTTAAAGTTGCCAAGTTTGAAGACCCTTGGTCTAGTCTGTCTGTCTGTCTGTCTATTCTCTCTCTCTCTCTATTCCACCTCTATTTATCTATATCTATTCTATCTTTCTCTCTCTCCCTCTATCTATCTATTCTTTCTCTTTGTCTCTCTCTCTATCTATTCTACCTCTCTTTCTTTATCTATTCCAGGGCTCTTCAAACTTGACAGCTTTAAGACTTGTGGACTTCAACTCCCAGAATTCCTTCTCTAGTCACGTTAGCTCAGGAATTCTGGGAGTTGAAGTCCACAAGTCTTAAAGTTGCCACGTTTGAAGACCCTTGGTCTATTCTATTTATCTGTCTATCTGTCTATTCTCTCTCTATTCTATTTATCTCTCTATTCTATCTATATCTATTCTCTTTCTTTCCCTCTCCCTCTATCTATGTATTCTATCTCTCTTTCTCTCTCTCTATCTATTCTACCTCTCTTTCTCTATCTATCTATTCCAGGGGTCTTCAAACTTGGCAGCTTTTAAGCCTTGTGAACTTCAACTCCCAGAATTCCTCCTCCAATCATGTTAGCTCAGGAATTCTGGGAGTTGAAGTCCACAAGTCTTAAGACTTGCCAAGTTTGAAGACCCTTGGTGTACAGAATAAAGAATAACATAGTTGGAAGGGACCTTGGGAGGTCTTCTAGTCCAACCCCCTGCTCAAACAGAGACCCTATATCATTTCAGGCAAGCAGTTGTTCAATCTTTTCTTTAAAACCTCCAATGTTGGTGAACCCACAACTCTCCATTTCTTCTTAAAAAACTTTCGCAGATAATTATTATTCCCAAGGTCAGGAAGTTTCTCCTTAATTCCAGGTTGCTTCTAGCCTTGATTAGTTTCCATCCATTGATTCTTCTGCCCTCAAGGGCTTTGGAGAATAGCTTGACCCCTTCCTCTTCTTTGGGGCAGCCCCTCAGACATTGGAAGGCTGCTGTCATGTCTCCCCTAGTGCTCCTTTTCATTAAGCTACATGTTCCCAATTCCAGCAACCGTTCTTTATATGTTTGAGCCTCCGGTCCCTTAAAATCCTCTTCGTTGCTCTTCTCTGCACTCTTTTAAGGGTCTTGCAAGCATTTATATACAACTGTTCAAAGTTATTGAAGGCGCCGAAAAAAAGTGGTTTATCAACTACCTCTCCTTCCTTTCCATATAGTTCGGCTGCTGCGGAGGTGTCTCCTACAGAGACTGGTCCCAAAACATGTACTTCAATTGCACACCCCAAAATCCCAGCCGGGAGTTTTGCTCGGTGCCTTATTCCTGTTGCCGGCAACCGGAAGACCAGGTGAGGCAAAACGGAAGTTTTCTGACCCAGTTTTCCCAAAAGCACGAAGCCGACTCCTCGTCCCAATAAAAACCCCTTTTTATTTAGCTTAAATGGGAATGCCTCTCCAGCAAAGTCCCGGCCAACCGTCTTTCAAGAGATTGCACAACGACAGACCTTTATTAGGCTGGGAGAGTTGCCAGGGCGATCTCTTCCAAATGCCATGCTGTAGCAGCAATGACTTGGCAAGAAGTCAGGAACAGATCTTCATACTAATTAAACAAACTAATTGTCTCCTGCAAACCCCACTCCCCTTTTGCTCCTCTTTTATACTCTATGGGAGGGGACATTCACCGTCCACCTGTGCCCTTACTCCCGAGTTGACCCTTGTTCCTTAGTTGTTCCCTTCGTCTGGCAGCTCTGTGCCTGCGCACACTGGGAACAGGCTCCAGCTGTTCTTCTACCCCATTGATCTCTGACTCCGAAGGCAGCTGATAACTGTCGGTCGGCCCTGGTCCCCATCTCTGCCTCCGACGCAGAGCCCTCGTCAGATTCCAGGACTGGCCCATGCTCCTTCCCAACCTCCTCACTTTCGGTTGGCAAGCTGCCGCGCTGCTCCCCCCTCCCTTTCTGTTGGCAACTCTAAAAAGACCAGAGAAATATTTTATGTTCGGTTCTTTGTGCATTCGTGCGCCGCGTTCAAAATACACCCATTTCAAGCACTGCGGCTTACCTTCTAAGGCAGCCCCGGTAAGTAAAACAGCTGAATCCACTGTGCGTCGCGCAAATCAGTTGAGCTGATAAACGTGGAAATAGAGGACAAGACAAAACAGCTGATCGTTGGAGTAACCGGTTCATTAGAACCAGTCCGAACCAGCAGCATCCCACCACTGGCCATCGGTCCAGGTGAATAAGTCAACAGATGCTGGCTTGGGGTTATAGCTTTGCCCTGGGGGAATCCTTCTTTGCGTGTGACTCTTTTTGGTGTTTTCCTGCCCAGTTGGTCATCAACACCATGTGCGGCCAAGGGGTTCAGATGCTCAGCTACCCCACAGCCGGAGAAATCATTCACACCGACGGCTGCATCGATAGGCTGGTGGACTGGATGCACAGCAACCTCCTGCTGACCGGTGCAGTGGCCCTGGGCCTGACGCTCCCCCAGGTAAGGAATTAGAATAAGAACAATTAGGAATAAGGAGTAGGAATAAGGATATGGAGTAGAATAAAGAATAAGGAACGAAGAATTAGGAATAAGAAATAAGGAGGAATAAGGAGTAGAATAAAAATAAGGAATAAGGATAAGGAATGATAGGATAAAGAATAGAATAAGGGATAGGATAGGGATAGGGAATAGGGGTAAGGATAAGGAATAAGAATAGAATAAGGAATAGAAATAGAATAAGGAATAGAATAAAAATAAGGAATAAGAATAAGGAATGATAGAATAAAGAATAGAATAAGGGATAGGATAGGAATAGGGAATAGGAATAC